GATCGGAATCGGATCGGGAGCAAAAAAAGCTGATCGGGACATCCCTATTTCTAACTCCTGCCATTAGCATTACTCCAGTGAGGTTTGAGTCATGGGGGGTGCATGAAATCACCCATAGGAGGAAGCCATTAGATTGGATCAATACTCTATTCCCTAAAGACAAAGAGCAGCCACAGTGGGGCACAGCAGCAGGGCAGGAGAGGATTGAGTTAGCGCACAGGAGGCAAAGAGGAATGACACAGTATCATACCTTTATTATGCTATTATATTACAGCCCAGCCAGACGCTGATACAACACGACTAGCAGGGGACGTGTTCATATGATTATACCGGAGAAGGATCAGATAACAGAAGCAGTATGGGACAGCAGCACAGAGTCTACGAGGCAATGGAAACCTTGGTACCATACTGTGGAACAATGGCAACTGCCATATGGTGATTTTGTTAACATACTTTTATTATTTTTATTCAAAAAGTAAAGCTTGCTAAACTGGAGGTAATAAATGACAATATCACAACTTCCTTAAAGTCACTAGAGTCCATGAAAACCCACATCCTGGATCATTTACACAGTAAAAGGGAACAGGATATGTATGAAGACTGTTTTTTTTTTTGTTGGCTGGATCCATCTCCTGTCTCTTTGCAGAATGTAAATCAATATTATGTTACAGATTAAGCCCCACAGCGGGGGGACGGGGGTAAGTAGGTGACGTAGAGAATCAGTGTGACTCACAGAACGTCCTCTGCAGGTGCCATTTTAAAAACAGTATTAAATACAATATTAAGAGTAAAGAAGATTGCTGTTGGATGGGTAGAGCGCAAATTAAAAGTGGTGTGGTTAACGATACTTGCACAGGAAAGATGATAAAGGAAGTGGTTGGTGAGTGTGTGTTTTGTTGTTGATAAGATGTATGTTTTAGATTAAAAAGGTAGAGCTGAAACAATGACATGAAATCAATCGGTTCTCCACCTTTTTGTACACTTAAAAGGGCCCATGTCATGCTTTTCCGGTTATTACCCGTCCCCTTGTGTGTTACGAAGGTTTTTCTGCATGTAAACGGTCTGCAGAGTCAAAAACCCTCAAAGTACACCCTGTAGCGAGTAAAACTCTAACACAGAAAAGACCTGTCTATGCTGCCCCAGAACGCCGCGTTGGAGATTTCTCTTTTTCCATTTGTTTCTTCCGGGAACCAAAATGGATCAATCCGCGGAGCTCCTCCCACACCAGGAGGGGTGGGGACATTTAGCGTACATTTTCAACTAACAGGGAGTCCCCTGGTTGGTAATAGACGAGTTGGGATCGCGGAGAAATGCTCTCCGCAGACCCATTCTCACAGCGTTTATAAACCTTTTTCTTACTCAATATCAAGCCACACTTATTGTTTTTACTTCGGCTGTGAGTGTTTGTGTGTGCTCAGGATGAGTTTCGCGCTGTCCCGCTGTATCGCCGACCCGGAAACCACACCAGTAAGCCAGCTCAGTGAGCAGCGAGCCTCGCAACGTCCCGACCAATCAGAGCACACTGGGCTCACAGGGAGGGGGGGGCAGGAGCTCCAACAGAGAGCCGTTTTGGACAGAGAGTGAATACACATACTTTACAGAGATGCTGTATGAGAAACCAATGTGAGTTTGGAAAATTGCACAGTATAAATCTATTCTAGTAGACCTCAACAATGGAATTATGATCAGTAGAAATGGCCATGACATGGGACCTTTAATATCTTTGGGTTTTGGTCGGTAAAAACAACACATTTGTAAATATTAACTTTGGCTTTGGGAAACTGAGAAGGCCATTTTTGTCACTGGTGTCTGGCATTAGTTGACCATAATTAGTTGCACTGACATATTAGCGGAAATAACAGAAATGTTCATAAGTTTCATTACCATAAGCTTTAGCTAAACTAGGTTAGGCTTGAAAAATGAGTTCATTTTCAGCTCTTTGCCGTTTGAAACATGCTGTATGTGATTACTAAGGACAGGCGTTTAGGACAAACTAAATAAAGATGTGAATAAGGTGAACCAGAATAAAAAATAAAAAAAAACTTCTTTTCAGAAACTTTTTTCTGAAACTCTTCTGCAAGTTGAAATGTGTTTTGGCCATTGTTAAATTGAATTTGATTGAAACCTCTATAGAATATCACAAAATGGCCTGTCAAACACATCGGCTGTTCCAAAATGTAAAATACTGTGGGCGGCACATTTCACCATCACAGCCAATTGTGTCAAACAATTATGGCATTTAATTGGCAGAAAGCTATCAAAGACTTCAGATACTTTTGATTGCATTCTTTCCACCCTCCAATTACTTTATTCAGAACCTATCTCTGAAGACACAAAGCATGAGTTAATTTGCAAGCACACAATGGCCCAGTCCGTTAAGACTGCAGGCTCCCAGTGTTAGCAGTTTAACAGCTGCAGTTTCAGCCTCCCTCTTTCAGTTTGGAATCATAATCATGGTTTTACTTCCTCATTTCTCCCTGCAGTCGGTCCTGACAGGGCGACAGGCAACTTTAGAGTCTGTTGACAGCTCTGGCAGCTCGGGAGTAGGTGAGATTTCTCATCAAGGCAGAAAGCTTCCCGATACCTGCATGATCCTGCACTGTCAGAGCGCACCAAGTCAGCTGGTCATGATGGGAAGACCATGCCAGGAAGAGGAAACCAGAGGGAGAGGAGAGGACAGTCGGAAATGTAAGATGGCGTCATAGGAAATGACTTTATACTGCAGACTAGAAGGGCACAGAGAAAGAGGAGACCTCCAGCAAGGCCATGAACCCATCACGCAGTGTTAGCGAAAGTGAGAAATAAATGGTGTATCCGCCTGTGATTACGATCCACTCCTAAATGTAAAGGGTTCCTCCTTGGCCCATGCTACAACCTTTCACCAAGATTCATTACATTTGGGCCAGCAGTTTATCCATAATCCGGCTGACAGACAGACAAACAAACCAACTGAAGCGAAACCATAACCTCCTTGGCAAGGAAGTGTTCCCAACTGTGAGAAAAAGATTACCTGAATACAGCAAATTCACAAGTCACTTGGTATGGTTATTAAAGGCGGTTTTTCCTCACTAAAATGTGATATCAATGCTATAATTCAACAAAAAACACAAAATAACTGTGCACTCAATATGACAACTTTGACAAGTTCAAGCCGCTCATGAATAAAAAAGGCTGACTTTTCATTTGGCTTTGCATTTTTTTTTTTCTGCTAATGAAGATGAAAAGTGTCCCCAGTTGCTTTTTTTCAAAGTCAAGACATATCTTTGTTCAACTCAAGTATGAAACCAAGATAAGAACTCCCATTCTAAATCACTGCATGCCTACAAAAAGGCCACCGTCCGTCGCTATCGTTTGAACACTCAACAGTTTCAGAAACTTCAAGTGTTTGTGTGGAAATGAAACCATTCCATATGCAGTAATCCCATGTGAGGAGGAGGCCGGATTAGTTACACAGCAGCTCAACAGAGACAATATGCATTGTGTTATCTGTAAATGTATGCATGCACGCACACTCCACGGGACAATGAGGCTTCTTATCGCAACAAGCCCTCCGTTTTTCACAACACTACCATAGACATAACCAAAGGCTACAGTGATGTAACACACACAGCTGGTTGTTCTTCTAACACTGACAGTAGCTGAACACCACAGGCTGCATCATGATAAAAATTGTGCCTTAAAAGGCTGTATTTGACATGACGCCAACTCTTGTTACCTTGGAATGAAGCTGAGTGAAAGGTTTGCCCTCCCACTGAAAAAATAAACAACACAGCAGGCCACCACATAGTTGTAGCAAGCACAGAAAGCTTTAGTTATACAAGTGTGTATGATGTGCTTTAAAAATGTTTAAACAAGCTGCAATTGCAATACACACTCACAGACTATACTGCAGGCATCATGGCACACAGCAGGACTGGAGTGTGAGGTGGAAGAAAAGGAGGAAAGATGATCCTGCAGCCAATGAGAAGACTGAGTGTAATCTGAGAGCCACTGTAACAATTCACTGAGGGCAGTACACTAACCTCACATTCATCAGGCAAAACAACATTTTAGAGTTTAATCAGAGGGTGGAATTGTTGTCTTGTTGATGTCAAGCTGATTATATAAAAACTAGAATGACTGTTTATATTTTTCAGCAGCTGCAGCCTGTGGAAGCAATGCAGCTATGGCTATCAGCTTGATTTTATTATGGTTCATAATAAAAGGCAACATCCAGACAGCAGTGTGCCTCAGACCTCAAGTCTACAGCAAATGATCTTTGAGAAAAGGAAACTGCTGTGGGCCACCATGTTAATTCAAGCATTAACATCCAATACATATTGATCCAGGGTGGTAAACTCAAAAGAGACAAACCCACAGCTATGACATGGTCACCCCCATTTTACAGGCTAGAGAATTCAAGTTTACAACATTTAAGATAGCAATGTTGGGAACAAATGCTACTCGTTACAATATTGCTTAATCGTGTCTGAATGCAATCATTTATATTTTAATGAACTCGTGTCCCATCTTAAGGCACGCCAAACTGAGCGTCGCAAAGGCTTGGGGAAGACTAACAAAGGCTTGCTCGGACACATTAAGTATTCTCTTGATTCACAATCACAAACACATGCTGAATGGACAAACCCGAGGAAATAAAGAGCAGCAGGGCTGACACAAACCGCGTTGCAGATTTTTGCTGCAGAGTGCACCAGTCGCTGACATTAAACTCCATTTCCATACCTTTATCACAAACAGGTTACGTTGACAGTCACTAGGAACCAACCCTCGGCTTTCACAGTTGCCAATAAAAAAAGCAAATTCTCACACATTCAAATCCCAGCACAGTCCAGACGCTCGTCCGTCAGTCCGCCCGACCGACAGACCGTCAGCCACCTCCGGTCGGATTTAATAAAGCGAGAGGCGCAGCGGACACAGAGGAGCCTCAGTGTGGACGGACGCATAGCTGCATTGGACACAAATGTTCCTATTCCAACTAACAGAGAAAAGAAGACACTCACCGCTGTGTTTGGCTCCGAATGACGACGTTTTGTTTATTGCGTTGCCCCCGCTGAGCAGCTGAGTGTAGTGGTGCGTCACCGACTTCCGCGTTAATATGGACTGAAAAAAAAGCTCCGAGGGAAATAATGGGTTTAAAGCACAGGAGGCGCAGGCGGGCCCACTGAGGGGTGCAAGATGTAGCTTATGATAAGGAGGAGGGTGATGGAGGATATAAAGTCATATTGAACACTCCCCTAATCAGTAACCGGCTCGAGATACACTTTTTGTTATATTCCATGGAATGCTCTCAACATCCCGATAGCAATGAATATCTTAAGTGCTTTGACAAACAATCCCTAAAAAAATGTCATCTGTGGAAGCCATAGAAGCTACTGTAAAAAGCACGACCAATCATTTTAGCCGGCCCGGCTAAAATAACTGGATGGCCTACCTGCCTGTCAGCCTTCCATCTGTGCACAAACTTATCTCGTGCCCTCATTGGTCATGTGCGCGTTCGTGTGTGTTGGAGGAGAGGCTATGTAAGGAAGTGGCAGATTTTTTCCGGCTGTGTATTTTCAAATTCTAGCACACTCGAGCTGGTTTCTCCAAAATGACCTACCCCACCTTTAAGCACTACATGTAATACTCTAGTATCCCACCCATCAACCCAATCTCCAGCTGCATTAATTGTTTTAACCCACACAAAAAAGCTCAAATTTAGCAATTTACCATCTAAACGTTTAGCTACCAAACCAATTACAATTAGCATTAGCTGGAACATTTAGCCACTAATGAACTAGTTACTTTTCTGAAGATGTCAAAGAGACCAACATATAACAAAAAGAGAGTGAAGTACTCATATAAATCAGAAACACAGAACATGACTCAAATGAAATGCTAGTTTTGCTTTATATCTGCTTGAAGCAGCTACTTTGACTGCCCTCTAGTGCTTCCAGCCTGCCAGTTAGCTTAGCTTAATTAGCAAAAGGACTGGGGGGAAAAGCTAGCATGACTGCCAAAAATGAACACAATACACATCTAAACTTCTTCTTATCCAACCAACGTTTCATGCTATATCTTGTTTCTTTAAGTCCTCCAAAAAAACTAAGTGTAAAAAGGACAAGTCTCTATTTCTTGTATCTGAACAGTTGCCTGGCACTGCCAAAGAAGAAGTCTGCAATATAACCTCAAACAGTAGGCCTATGCTATTTTAAATGACAGTTTAAATGACATAACAAATTAGATTTGTTGTTAGTCATATTGAAAACAATTTCAGATTCAATCGAGACTGTATTAAAATATTCTGGTACAACAATGGTTACTATTTCAGGGTATGAATGGCCTGCAGTGGTGACTTTGGTGTATCACATCATGTACTATAGGTATAGCTGAACTAAATGAGCTCCTCGCTCAGAGTGCATTATGTTGGGAGGGAGCTATAGGCTCACTTATTAAACGGGGAATGTATCATCTGTTGACTCAAAGCTTCGGCTCTATGTCTGTGAAACCTGTCATTGTGTTTGAGCTTATTACTGATGCACAGTCCGCCACTGTGTCCTTGGGGGGTGGGACAACGGAGCCTCTGTGCTCTGTCTGGACAAAGTGGGCACCTCAGATGTGAGTGAGTCTGCCAAATTGTCATGCATGTGTCTCTGCGTTGGAGAATTGGTCATCAAGGACTCCCAGAACCCTTTGGACTTTTTAATTACTGAACAGGAACTGGAAAAAAAGTTGATTAACCTAAAACCAAAACAAGCAAGTGGGCTTGACGGCATATTGAACGAGATGCTAAAACACACAAGTAAAAAGATCAGATTGGCTATACTCAAACTATTCAATTTGATCCTGATTGTAGGTTACTTTCCTGACTGCTGGAATCGTGGTCTCATAACACCCATTTTTTAAAACGGCGATAAATCTGACCCTAATAATTACAGGCATTTGAGTGAACAGTAACCTGGGGAAGGTCTTTTGTAGTATTATAAATTCCCGGCTTATAGACTTCCTTACAAAACACAATGTCCTGAGCAAATGCCAAATTGGATTCTTACCAAATCACCGCACATCAGACCACATTTACACCCTACACACCCTAGTTGACAAATATGTTAATCAAAATAAAAGCAAAATATTTGCCTGTTTCATTGATTTCCAAAAAGCATTTGACTCGATTTGGCATGTTGGTCTATTCAACAAACTACTTCAAAGCGGTATAGGGGTTAAAACATTTGACCTAATAAAATCTATGTACACAAACAACATGTGCAGCATCAAGATTGGACACAAAAGAACAACCTTAATTTCTCAAGAACGGGTAGTAAGACAAGGATGCTGTTTATCACCGGCCCTGTTCAACATCTCTATTAACGAACTGGCCACTATCTTAGAACAGTCCACAGCACCTGGGCTCACACTTCACGAAACAGGGATCAAATTCCTGCTGTATGCAGATTATTTAATCCTGTTAAGCCCGACAAAAGAAGGACTTCAACATAGTTTAAACATACTCGAATGTTACTGTCAGACCTGGGCCCTGGCAATTAACATAAAAAAGACAAAAGCAATGATATTTCAAAAAAGATCCAGATGTCAGGCAAACAATATTGACTTTACAATTGGGACACATACAATAGAAAATTGCTCAGAATATAATTATTTAGGCCTGAAAATAAGTTCCACTGGAAGTTTTAATCAAGCTGTCAAGGAACTGAGAGAGAAAGCACGCAGGGCGTTTTATGCAATAAAAAGACAAATTTACATTCAAATTCCAATTTTAATTTGGCTTAAATTACTTCAATCAGTAATACAACCCATCCTACTATATGGAAGCGAAGTGTGGGGCCCACAAACAAACCAAACATTTGACAAATGGGAAAATCATCCAATTGAAAATGCTCACAATGAGTTTTGCAAACGCATCCTACAGGTTCACAGGAGAACAGCTAACAACGCCTGCAGAGCGGAATTAGGCACATTTCCATTATTAACAAAAATCCAGAAACGATCAATTAAATATTGGCTACATCTAAAAGAAAGTGACCCCCACTCCTACCACCAAAAAGCCCTGCAATATCAAGAGATGAACAAGGAAAAGAGTCACCTCTCTCAGCTGGTCCTGACACTCTGTTCACAAACCGGTTCAAACTGTGATCTGCCTCAGGACCAGTCTGAGCCCACAACTATTAGAGTCAACCAAATTATAACAAAACACACAAAAAACGACCTCACTTATTGGAACACTAAATCCCAAACACAAAGTAAAATGCAATGCTATCTGGCCCTAAAAAGACAGTACACTCTGGCAGCCTACCTGACCACAGTGACTGATGTTAAACACAGGAAGATGTTGACAAAGTACAGACTGAGTGCTCACTGCCTGGCCATAGAAACAGGCAGGTACAAGAAAACATGGCTGCCAAAAGAGGAGCGATCATGCCAACAGTGTGGAGGAACTGCTGTGGAGACAGAGCAGCACTTCCTCACACAATGCCCAACTTTTGAACCTATACGGAAACAATTCTTCCCAAAACTCAATCATAAGCATCCTCAAATATTTAAAAATTAAAATGAAAAATGAAAAATACTACTAGGGGAATATAAAGAGAGCTGCATTGTTGCAGGACAGTTTGTCTCTGCCTGCCACAGTTAGAGGCAATCGGACTGAGCTGATACACCAGGTCTCACATCTTATATATCTTATGTATATATATATATATATATATATATATCATATTCTATTTTGTATTAATGTATTATATGAATTAAATGAGTCTGTATTCCTTGTAAGAAAAAAAAACATGTTCTTGCTTAATGTTCAAATTCTTAGCAGTTTGTTTATAACTGTTTATTTGTGTGTATTTGTGTATAGATGTTGCAACTATACAGAGCTTTGGCAATACTATATGTAACTATGGTCATGCTAATAAAGCTATTGAATTGAATTGAATTGAGATAGGCTACAGGGTGTCTTACTGCGAGTCATGGAGAGATTATGATATGGTTTGTTGTGTTGAATGTGAAGAGAAGCAGGCAAGGGAAATGCAGCTGTCGTGGTGACACAAAACAACATTTCATCTGTTTACTTTAGAAATCCAAATATACCTTTTAACAAAAGTTGAAAAGGGATAATCAAAATTGCTCAATTATTTTATTGTTATGAATTTCCTGAAGCATGTCTTTAGTGCCTCTGACCTATTACAGTGAACCTGTCGAACTGGTAGTTCTTCTGTTTTGATCCCTAAGGCCATATGCACCCATGACTCATGACAAAAATATTGTTTTGAACAACGATGAGTTCTAGAGTATCGTGTTTAGATTCCACAAAAAATGCTGATATTGTTGGAATAAAACCTTTACATACATACAAAAAGGAGTTTGAGGTTTAATTTACATTTGAATTAAAAGAAAAGCATTGTCTTTTGGTCTGTGGAAAATATATCTGCAGAACTTGGCAGAGTTCCTAAGAGGCAAACTGAAAGATCTTGAAATAAAGAGTAGAAAAAATGCATTTGGTTTGTTATTCGACATGCTGTAAAAGAACGGTTGGAAGACTGTTCCACCTGGAGAAAACAAAATCAAATACTCGGACAAATACTGTATACATCCCAAAAGGTACACTATGTTATGATAATAAAATTGATTTATGACTGCACTCTCATAAAGTTGGGTGTTAAACAAGACATATATTTTGGAAATTATACTCACACCCACATTTTAAACTCCAGGCCTCTCTTTTAGGCGCCGTTTACACAGGAGAAAACTGCTTGTATCTGCATAGTTTCGCGTGCGTATAGCCCTATTATTTACACGAGGCCGATAGAAACTGACCCCACAAACAATAACGGGTCCCAAGGTGGATAGATTTGCAAACGAAACGCTCTGGGGGGTCAACCGAGTCCGTGTAATCACCTCGATACGAATATTTCCTGAAAAAATAAGGATAGCCCCGGCTCTCCCCACCTCTCCTGCTCACTGCTGTATCAACTATCAAAAATAGCTGTGTTAATTAAACGCACAAGGGGTTCTTGAATGAAATAATATTATAAAAGGCAAACCAGAATTGTTAACGCCCAATATACTCCTTAAACAAAATTAAGAGTCAGATTTCATGCATTGATCCATTATATTGACAAAGGAGGATCTCACCCGGTGTTTGTACAGAATATCTCTCTCTTTCTGAGCCGTCCTCTCCACGGAGTTGTTTTCTTTCGTGTTTCTTGGTCGGGATGCAATATCCACAGATTGGTTTCTTTCAGTTTCTTTCAGTTTCAGTTTCAGGGCTTAAACAGAAGGGTAGCCATGGCAACATTGCAGCGGGGCTGCTCGGTTGCTCTTCTTCGCGGCTTTTGGTGTATTTTGGCGGAAGTTACAGCGCCACTTACAGTCCCAGCATATGTACTACAGCGTTTCCAGCGGCCTCGTTTGAACAAACACGTTAAAACGGTCCCGTGTGAGCGGGGCCTTAAAAATTAGCTGATACCAAGACCAAGCTGAGATAGCTGGTCGATGTCACTTCACTTGTCAAACCTGACACAGCTTCTCTAGAGCCACAGAAAAAATCATGCAACTCTATTCACAGGCTGAGTAGTAAACCAAGTGGTGAAACATTTACAAAGGTATGCTACGAAAGAGACTATAGTTCATTTTGGTGTAATCTTTGGAATCAGATTCTGCATATAAAGTCTTATTGTTGTCAGACTGTTAGCTGATGGGTTCTGAAATTGATTCTGGGGAGGACAGCAATGTGTGTGTTCTGTGTTTGTCTGCATGGAGCAACATGAGTCGTCAATAGTCACAGAATCTGAGCATATTATAGTAAATAAGCCTCTATAATGTTGTGGGCACTGTCATTCTAGTGGCTGTGTGGAGCTGTTCTTTCTCGTACCATTGAGCTAAATGCTTATATCGACATGCTAGCAATGACCTTATTTACGTGCTGATATTTCGCAGGTGTAAGATTTATCATGTCAACTGTCCTCGTTTAGTATATTAGCATGCTGATCATTTGGTTAATACAGGTCTCTTAACCCTTCAATTTGTGTACTTTTTAAATATATGTTTTTTTAATATATTCAGCTCTTTTGAGAGGCCACATGAAACATAATATTTAACTTAACCCTCAAATTAGTAGTTTTTGTTGCTTCACTAAGGTGGAAAGCAAATCAGCATGAGCAATATTTCCAAATTTCACATGAGCCTGTTAACTCCCTTTTTTGTATATGCCCATCTCCATGTTCAGGAGCATTTATCTGCCAGGAGAGACTAAGCAGTGTTTCAGCTCTATATGCTGCACAGCCCAATTACCTTGGATCAAAGCCAGACAAAACCAAGGAGAGGGAAGATGAAACCCTGAGACGTGACTCAGGTCAGGGTTTGTCTGTTCCACAGGAACAGCATCCAAAGTGAAAGCAGAGTGTATAATGAGAAGCAACTACTTTTCATTTGAACATTTTCTGAGAATACTCGGTGACTCATATTCATGTTTTTGATTCCACGAAGTGTTCTCATAGTTACAGATAGCAACTTTGTTTGAACTACACTCTCCCGGATAATTTTGTATTTTGCATACAGACATATAAACAAACTACAGCTTTGATGTGCTCTATCGGACAAAATATAAATATGCCGACATTGCATTTGAAAAAGTGAACCAGTGGCAGGAAGCCTAGTTTGGTCAATCCGTCTGTGGACAGTCATATCAGAACCAGATCCGAAGGCTTCATCACTTCATTATTAGCTCGCTCTCAAGTCTGAGGTTGTGTGTGTGATTGCATTAACATGTTTTCTTTTTAGGGCAATTATAGCACACGCCCTTTACAGGAACAGAAATGAGCCGTTGATACGATGATAACAAGTTTATCCTGATGGTGACACAGCGCTAAGACCTAACAAGATGTTGGTCTGAACCTTAAAGGTCCTAACTTTGGCTACAAATTGTAGACTTGAAGGTCTTCTAATGTTTAACCCGGGGCAACAATTATTTGAGCTTGTTGCTTAGGAACAAGCCGAGGATCTGCATCAGGAGAACAGGGTACTTAATGGGACAAGAATAAGTCAGTGATAACAAATGCAAACAGTTTCTCATCTACTTCACAGCAGTGTGTACTGAGGCGATCAGCTGGAAAGGTCAAAGATGCAATGTACAAATAATGAGGAAGTGAAGAAACAAGATTTGAGGACACCGCACAGAAGTGAATAAACCATAGAAGGATTATCTGTTGCTGTAATAATCAGTCAATTGGAAATATAATCACATAGGCGTTGGCTCAGAAATCTTACAGATGACTCAGTAATGTACTGTCTGTATGGAAAGAAACTTTATTAGATCAAAACCCAGTAGATACTCTAACAGCATTTAAAGTTTTTGCAACAGCTGAGCAATAAAAAAGACTTACAAAAGATTTGTTATGGCAACCACCTTACTTGTATACACATCATAAATACCACAAGTAACCCCCCCCCATCTTAATACAGTTTACGTGATAGGAATACAGATTACAACTGACATTCACACCTACAGTACACACATCGCATACTTGCTATTTAAAAACCAGCCTTGAATTTAAATAAGTACTATTCATTAATAAATATTAAGTATTTCATCAGTAAGTGGGTGTACTGTTCTCTTTCATTAGTGATGTATGTGCCTGTGTAAGAAAGACATTTAGATGTGGAGAATATAAAAATCTGACAACATAAACACTTCATAATACAAACACAGCTATGTAAGTATCCTTTCCCACACAATTAGGAAAGCCAAACGGATAAATATGATAGTTCTAAAGTGCATCTGTCAAAGACTTGTCGAATGAAAAGTCAGCAGCGGTCCTATAGTCTTTTTTTTTTTTTTTTTTTTTTTTTAAAAGGCTGACAAAATTAAAAGTAGATATGTCTGAACGTGCACCAGATATATTTAGCAGATACTTCCTACATACAAGCACAGTTTTTTTGTTGTTTTGTTTTTAGGCAATGATAAAAGAACAAGGTAACAGTTAAAAAAGGATAAACATCTTCACATTGTCAAGAAGTGATAATTAGTTCTTTGCCATTTCAGTCCACTCTCGTTTTGTTCACAATTGGCTTTACAGAATATTTTATTTAAATTCTAAGCAAACTTGGCAGATTAAAAAAAGCACACAGTGGTGAATAAGTTCCTTTTTTTATGCTAGAAATGATTTGCAGAATCTCTTCCATTGAGTCAGTTTAACCTGTAGCTCCACAGGGTTGCTCGCTTTAGATCTTAGGCAGCTTGGGGGCACTGATCAGAGGGTTGGTGTCCTGCAGATATCTCCGTCCGGCACTCTTGTAGTCATACGTGCAGTCATGCAGCTCAGCATAGCGGTGGGTGGCACAGAAGTTGTGTCCACACCTGATTTAAAATGAAACAGACATTTTGGTATTAATGCAAAAACTCTAAACAAACACTATTTCATATTATAGTACACCTTACAATCAAGACATTATCCATTGAAATTCTCCATCAAACATCATCCGCTCAATTAACAGGCTATTCTGCTGAGTATGAATGGAGAGTCCCATTACTCCCAGTAGCTTAGCCTCCTTTGTGTTCTTTTATCTCTGTATTCACATCAGTCTATTTGTAAAAAGAGCAGCGTTTTCTCTACTTTTAACTATCTGTAATTGAGTTGTGAGTTACATACTGTTGCATCAGATTCAGGGTGTACTCCCCGGACACGGCCCAAGAGAAGGAAGTGATCCAGATTGTTGTCACAGGGAACAACCTTTGATAAAGCTAATAACTTGTGGCAGAACAAGCAGAGACGTATATCCACTTTAGAGAGATGGCTGAGGGACTAGATGTAGGACTATTTTCTACTAAAATGGCTGCTTCAAGGACAAGAATGACAAATAGGGAGAGACTTGATTTAGAGTCAGGCGGCGAGTGAGCGCAGATGGAAACGCTGCAGGCGCTTTTACCTGCACTCGTAGCTCGTGGCCAGGCCAGTCTTCTTGCCACAGAGGAAGCAGTGCTTTGTGCTCTTCTTCTTGCTGCCCGTGGGAGCCTTGACAGGAGGTAGGAGGTATGTTGGAGTGCCTGAGAATAGAGGAAACATGTATTACTTACTCCACAAGAGCCTGTGTGGAATAACTGATTGTGTATAGAAAAGGTTTGTATCAATCTATACACAGCCCAAATATTGCCTCTATCATACAATATTCCATTGTAAGTGTGCTTCATGTCTGCACACAGCATTACTGGAGATTTAAGGAACATTTCACAACCGCTTCAATATGCGCTTCCTTTTTCCATTTTACAGACTTTAATGTGCTCAAGCGAAATTCTTCACAGAAATCTTCAAGCCATGAAATGTTCAACACAGAACCTTCTAAAGTAAGGAAATTGCACTTCTCTGTTGTACTTCTAACCAAACCCCAACAACGGTAAGCAGCCATTTTCACAAGCCGTCAAAAGGCAAAACACCTGCTGTGAAATCGCACACTGGAATGTGGCCAGAAAAGGCAATGCACTTTTAAAGTCTCACTGCACAATTCTAAAAACATGTAATTCTTCACCATTTGACTTTGTTTTGTCTAAGTTTCTTGCCATTTCACTGAGCACAAGGAGATTGCTTTCATTCATGCAGCAGTACGTCTGTTATGTTGTCACCCGATACCCACAGGAAAAGAAAACTGCCAGAAAATGATCCCTCAAACACAATGTTCACACAGTCACATTGTGATTTATATATAGGGTTTCCTTGATAGTTCTGACAATTACTTTCAAGCTTGATTCATAAAGTGGGCAATTAAAAATAATTGTAGTCAATTCAACTCAATGTAAACCGTATACGTGTGACACTGCTTTTCTTCGGTAGCTGCAGATAATGGTTTGAATTCAGTTTCAGGCCATTTTTAGGATTTGCCAAATTAAACATTACCTTGTTGTCATTTTAGAAATGTCGGGAACACTGGTTCATGTCAGCTTGTAGCCGTCATAGTCGTGTCTGTGGAAGCATGCAGCTCGCCAGGGTTTGTGAGTCGTGGGGATACAGCAGCATACAGATAAAAGTGACAGCTCTGTGATGAAGGTACAGGAAGCTCGCTGTCAAGCAGCTAGGCGTGGGATTGGATTTCTATTTGTCTTGTGCACTTTAATCTGCTGCCATGCAGACAAACAGTGGGTTCAAATATATTCAGACCAAAGCACATTTTACAAATTCTCTTGTTTAGAAAAAAAAAAGTTCACAACACTCAATTTTCCTAATAATTTTTATCTGGATTTTACCTACACATTATCCAAGATGACAAAGCGAGCACCCACTTAAAGCAACAAACCCAAAATACAGAAAACCTCATCAACATACTGTGCACATTCAGATTTTTATGACCAGGTTTAGGTTTGAAGCATCTCATTATTTTGCTTATTACTGAGGAGTCACAAAAACAACTGCACTCAAGAGCTCAAAGTGGGGGGGGGGGAACTCTCTGGTCTGGTGCACTGAATGCAGCATCCACCGCTAACAACTTCCCAACAATCCCTGCAGGTAAACATGGAGGGGGAACATCGTGCATCATCAATAAGAGGATGTTTTGTATCAAAGTGGAACATGTCCTGACTGAGGAAACAATAAACGATGTCAAATGAAGAGAGACCCTTATGGGAGCACACGCAATCTCACAGTGGAGGGATGACTCACTTTTGAGCAAAAAAACATAGTCAGGACGATAACAAAGTGGAGAGTAGTTTGATTTTAATGGCCTCTTCAGGCTGCAGACAAACACCACTGAGGACATTTCGTTTCAGAGAGTTTCCATATAATCTGACAATGCTGGTGGGCATCTATTTAGAAGAAGGAGAGAAGTGTAGGAGTGTAAAGCTGCTGAAGGTAAGACCGAAAAGACCAGGAGATATTATTACTGTGTTCTAAATAAATTGATCAAAGGACTAAATTAATCAATTCTGTATGGTCAACATACTTAGTGAGAGATGGATATTATTTTTGATGCCCACTTTAATACCAAAATGATTCCTGTCGTGAAAGGTTGTGAAAGTATAGACAGATTTAAAAGTAATTCTTGAAGTGTTTTTGGGTTATTGAATGCAGTTTGCAGTCGATTCTTGACCACCATCAAACAATTCTCAGCCTGTGGAAATACTGATAAATGTCCAAAATGAAAGTGTCTTGATTCACTACTTAATATATATGTTTCCGTATTCTCTGTCTGCAGTAAAGGCGCATCAGTGATCAACATAAATAAGTAAGTGGGCTTGTGTGTAGGCCTGTCACGTTCTAATATTTGTGCTGCTTCTGCAGTTGTAGCAATAATTCATATTTAAAACCTTGTGGTTCTTTGTTTTAGTGCTCACAACGTGCACTGAAGGCATTCACATAACAACCTCACTGCGCCTCCCAAGAACTGCATATTAGTTCAGAACTGTTCAGTAACAATACTCTAGTACAAAAAAATGTAACAACTTAAATATGCAATCCCACCATCACAACGCACCACTTTTTCTTTGTTAGTGTTTAATTGAATAACAGAGATTATCTGCTGGTCTTGCTTACCTATTCTCCCAAATGAAGTCATGCCTCCCCCAGCTGATGCAAGATTGCTGGTGGCCTGAGAAAACAGCAACATAAAATATTGTTACAGCAAATCAATAAAACAACTGCAGTGCTTTATCTTGAGAGCAATCAGCATTTTTACTCAATGCTGTGCTGGAAAAGAGCTTAACGTTGTCAATATGGAATGAAACATACATCAAAAAGTGTGGCGGTTTTAAAAGACTAAAATATATTGAGAGAAGTGATGATTTTAAAAGTAGGGAGTATATTTTGCAAATATGATACACTTGAAATGTTACGAATTTCACTGAAAAAACATTGCATCACTTAAACCGTACATTTTGTATACCTCACAGTGTCACATAAGGGTTAATGTCTGATGATTTTCAACTAGAGCATTTGAATAGAATATATTCCCCCTGACACATCCCTGTCCTCACCATGTAGGAGGCTGCAGCTCGGTGCAGCGGTGACATTTGTCTAATCAGCTCACCCTGCAGGAGCCTGTTGGATGGTATGGGGGGCAGCCTGGAGTCGAGGCTGCCGGGCCCCGAGGCAGAGGCAGGGGGCAATGCCAGCGCGAGCCCTAGACTCTCTCCAAGGTCCCTGCTGCTGTTGCTGCTGTCTGGGGCTCTGGTGGAAAGAGAAGCTAAGAGTTCAGAGGGGTTCAGGGACCCCAGCGGCTCCTTACAGGCTTGGTTGGCCATCTTAGTGATGCCTCTTGCTTCCCTCTTGGAGATAAGCTCTGGCCTCTTTCCAGGTGACTCTACTTTAACGGCGTGGAGGCGTGGTGGGTGAGGTGAGGAGGCGATGGGGGGGTGAGGGGAAGTGCGGCCTGGCTTTACTTGTGCTGAGGCTTGAAGGATGGGCTGTAAACAGGAGAGGGTGGAATCGAACGCTTGGGCCAGCGGTCTGGTGGTAGTGGATGTCGACGTATATATGGGCAATGGGGAGGGGGGGTTGATATGGAGAGGTGTGCCCAGCTGCATCCCATCCCCTCTGCTGGTGAACGTGTCACTTGTACCAAGTGTCCAGGTACTGAGTGGGGAGGGGGAGAGCGGAAACTGGTGCCGAGTGTCAACCTCAAGGGGCCGACAACCTCCCTCAGGCTGGGGGGACACATCCAAACTCAGAGGGTCTAACAGGTCCCCAAATGGAGCTCCTGCCACCCCCAGCCCGGCAGCTTCCTCTAACAACCTCAGCCGGACTGCGTCCCCTGGTGGCTCTAAGGGGTCAAAGGTGGAGTCAAAGGTGGAGTCAGGCGGCCCCCTGATACACAGCGGGGGGAGCTGAGGGTACACACAGTCCCTCATTAACCTGCTGCTCCCAATGTCCAATCGGGACACTTTGGGAGGGGGCCGGATCTTTGCAAAGGGAGGGCACATCTCCCATGCCTCCTCTTCCTGAAGCATATAACAAGAAGGGGATGTGTATGGCGGAGGGGGGCGTCTCGGGATAGAGAAGTGGGCAGCAGCCGAGGCCGGGGCGGGGTCTGTGGATTCGTGGTCTGCGATTGGAGGTAGTTGTGCATTTGACTGCCAAGGCTGGTTGATCTGGTGGAGCGAACGAAAGAGGCGATGATGGTGACGTGTGCTGGAGGAACCCACTGAGACCCCGCTGGGATGTGGGCTGACGGGGGGCCGGGGTTTAACCTTTGCTGACTTCTTCGGCTGGAAGACAAGAGACACAGAAAACAGTCAGCATCCTCTCATATGCACTGCTCGAGTATTTGGCCCCAATACTGTGAAATTATAAAACCACGGTTGTTATCTTATCACTTGACTTAAGCTGCTGGTATAAATTAATCATAAGCATAAACCATTTTTAAAGAGCCAGTACAGTTTATTATAATGAGAAGCTCTGCCGTCTTACAAACACATGCAAATGAGTGTTTGGCGCAGTATGTCTGCATTATGCAAAATGGTTGCAGACTACCATGTTAGTGTATGATATGAGAAGCAGTTGTGTTGAGTAGAATCGTTTGGTGTCCTTTTCTATTTTATTTATAAATGATTGACATGAAAAACAGGGTAAAATGCTTGTTTTTCAAATCATCTACATTTAAAATGGGGAAAAAATGAAAAATGTGTTGAGGCCACCTTTGATAGCGGGTACAATTGAAAGGTTTCTGATATCCCAGCTTCCAACCTTTTTGTTGAGGTTCATGTCCTCCATCTTGGCTTTGAGCAGCTTCATTTTGTTCATGGTGATGGAGTTCTCGAGGCTTTGCAGTGCAGCTGTGGAACTCTCTACATCCTCCTCATCCTCCTCCTCCTCCTCCTCCTCCTCGGCACACACATTGTACAAGGAGCCACCACTGGAAAATATCAAAGGCAAAACAATCTTCCCATTAGTGATCCTTCAGAGCCGTGGGCAGTCCTTACAGAGGCCGTGCTCACTGAACTCACTGCCACAACTAACATTACATAAACAAAGGGAAGTACTCAACTCCACGCTGGATGTATCATTAGATAATTATACTTGTTTATCTTGTATGTTCGTCATCTATGTCGTTTTTATCTTGGAACCAGTCTAAAGCATCAGAACCTAATGCAAAAGTCTGTTTCTGTTTCTGTTACAGCATTTCAACGCGAGGAAACCCTGAGCAAATTCTTTATATATGCATATTGTCAGTACTTATACAGATAATTATATAATGACATGATCATTTAAAGGTGGGGTAGGTAAGTTTGAGAAACCGGCTCGAGATACACTTTTTGTTATATTCCATGGAATGCTCTTAACATCCCGATAGCAATGAATATCTGAAGTGCTTTGACAAAAAATCCATAAAAAATGTCATCTGTGGAAGCCATAGTACTGTAAAAAGTACGACCAATCATTTTAGCCGGCCCGGCTAAAATAACTGGATGGCCTACCTGCCTGTCAGCCTTCCATCTGTGCACAAACTTATCTCGTGCCCTCATTGGTCATGTGCGCGTTCGTGTGTGTTGGAGGAGGGGCTCTGTAAGGAAGTGGCAGATTTTCTCCGGTTGTGTATTTTCAAATTATAGCGCACTCGAGCTGGTTTCTCAAACTTACCTACCCTACCTTTAACTTAAATAACAAGGACTTTATCATAATATACGAACCTCAGAGATTCAGACAGAGGAGTCAGGGTGCCATCTCCTCTGTCGACCACTCGGAAGAAGTTTAGTTGGTCATTTTCCCGATAGACCACAAACGTAACTTGCTTGTTGGACAGGCTTTTCTCCCACCCCTCCTCCTTTGTGTTCTCCATTAGCTCAGTAACATCTTTGATAGGATCCTCCATTGTAACTGACAAAAGAAGAGAGGTCAATTCCATAAAGTGTTAGGGAATTAAAAAATACAGTATGAGTATAGATGTCCATCTGACATGTGGATGTACAGTTCTTTTGACTTTTCCTTACCTCTCCTGGTGTTAATTGGTCCTCCCCTCATAGCTAAGACCAGCTTCAAAGTGCAGCCCTCTGCAATGCTGCAAGCACAAACAAACTGATGATCAATACGGCAGATAAGTGAAGTGGCTCAGTCAGTAGGGGCTTGGACTGGGAGCTGTAGGGTCGCCGGTTCAAGTCCCCGACCAGACCTAAAATATGGAGTGTGGACTTCTACTTGGAGAGGTCCCAGTTCACCTCCTGCCCTGCCGTGGTGCCCTTGAGCAAGGCACCGGACAACCCCCTTCCCCCCTCACTCCCCGGGCGCTGTACAATAGCTGCCCACTTCTCCTAGTACTAGACTCCTGGTACTAGGATGGGTTAAATGCAGAGAACACATGTCACTGTGTGTACTGTGTGCTCTGCATGTGTGACCATTAAAGAGGGGTTTCATCCCTCCCAATTCTATTCTATTCTATGAAGGATGTAACCAATTCCATAGTGAGCAACACATTTAAGTTAAGAGTAAAATGCTTTACTTCCGAGGCAGAAAAGAGATGCTCCTCTATAAAGTGAACAGCACTCCAAGGGTCGAGATGATTTCCAGATGAACTTAAGTGCACGACAGGGAATTCCACGGGAACATTTGTTTCTGATGAGCAGATGTTTCATTGCCTACTCTACCCCTCTGCTGCTCAAACTTCAAAAACATGCTGCAGTTTGATAGGCGAGCCGGGCAAGATCTCACCAGAGGCTGTTCATGTGGAAAATTAACTGACAAGCATTCATAACAATAGCAGCATCTGCAGCCGGCAGAGCACTGGAGGGTGAGGTCTGCATCTCATGAACTGATAAAAGCACTCTTCACATGACCAGTATGTCACTTATCTCATCTGCCTCAACATCTCTCTGGCTCATTTATGATATGTTGATCTGAATTAAGACTGAGTCACCACCGCAGACAGAAGGCTTTTAAAGTACACAGGCAAATGGCTAGACGAACACAGGGCGTTTTCAAACATATTGCTAGTAATTGCTCCAACAAGCTTTATGTCTGTGTGATTTTGCCTCAGTGCCAGTGCTCTGAAGAAGAGAAAGGGTTTGCAGAAATAGATTTACCCGTAGTCATGAAGACAATGTTCATCGTCCAGCTCCAGATTGTTCCAGATTAGGTGTTGCTGGGCAACAGGGATACCTTTACAGACAGTCAGAGAGAGGGTAGAAGAGAAAATAAGCAAGGTTGACAAGGACCTGTATGTATTTCAGAACATAAAATCACTCATCTGACACTCAAGCAAAGCAGAAAGGCTGCCAAAAGAAGCATCCATACAGCGATATCGATGATTCTTGTCTGCCCCCTAAAGACAGAACCATGTCATTGCTGAAAAAGGGCAGATCCCACAACAATTGCATGAACTAAAATTGTCTAAATTATAAGAAAAAAAACTAAAACTTGATGTGCTCAAGTGTTTACAAGATAAAACTGTGAAATACATTAGGGTTGGAATAAAATACAGCCACATTTATCTCAAATGAGAACAAAGTAGTAAGGTCTAGTTGAGGGCTGACGGCCTAATGAATATGAAGGCTCTCTAGAGCTACTCCTTAACATGAGATGCAGTGTATGCGTGGTCAGGAAGCTCTCTGTGCCCACAATGAGTGAACTCCCTGAACCGGTGCTGGACCGGAGCCAGTGTTAGTGAGTGAGCACTGGTCCTTTCATTGCCGAGTGGTTTTCTACACCACACACTCACTTGGCTTGGCTGACACACCTCTTCACACACAGAGGCCATTATAAACAAAAATGAAATCAGCAGCAAAGAATGCAGGACAGCCAAAGTCGAAATAAATGAACTAATAGATTATTCATTCAGGAAAATGTCAACACAACCCACAATGCCTAATCCTAAAGCACACTGAAAAACACAGTTGCTGTGTTCTTTCATGGTGCATATGATTAGTCACTCGAGAGACAAGCCAACAGGTGAGTTCACACTATGTTGACATATTATAAGGCAGTTGCCTTTTACAAAGTCAGCAAACAGCTTCTAAGATGGTTTGGATTTGTGATTGAGCAAGTTACTAGCGTCTTCCATTATGTATCAACAAGGAGACCAACAATAGGAATGATAGGACATTTTATGAGCATCCATTGCTTGGAAAAAGCGGCTGTCTGTTGTGCTTATACACTGATTTTGCATTAGGACATTTTTAACCAAAGACTCTAGCTAGATTTTTTTTTTAAACCGACAGCCATACTTAACACAAATGAAGGTTTATATTGACAATAAGTCTAAGCGCCATAATCTCAGAGTGTAACCAAGAGTTTTCTGCCTATTTCTTTTCCCCACCACGTTACATTAAGCATGATAGAAAACTTTTATCCAGGTCAAAACCACAAACAAAAACAAAAAACCGACTAATAGAGTAGGAAAACCTCAGTAGACTATAGATAGGTGATACAGAATGGTAAAAACAATGACTTGTCCTCAACCCAGTCTATCAAATAACTGATGGAGCCTGCTCGCTCAATAAACATGCAAAAGATAGACATTATTTATGTGTTTTTTTACCTTCCAGCCTCTGGATCTTTGCCTTGACTGAAATGACAGCCTCAAAAGGCAACACACGCAGCTCAAAACAGGTTCCTGTCAGGGTCTCTATGAAGAGCTCCATAGTGTCATAGAAAGGGAGCTTATAGTGAAATGCTCCCACACTGTCGTCATTAAAGAAAGGTGGCTCTTTCCTGTCGGTCATCTTGGCAGGATGGGAGAGAGACTTCTGGGATACGGTTAAAAGAGAGGGCCGGCCCAGGAGGAAGGAGAGAGGAACAGGCACTGCTCACTATCCTCACGACCGTCACACATCATGCAGGAGGACCATAGCTGTGAGAAGAAACAAAAGCACTGCATGATTGTCAACACTTTTAAGAGGGTTTCATTCGTTTAACCATTCCCTGCCCCTGCAATCCAGTGTCTTAAATATGATAAATGTGCTTTCTAGTCAGCAAGCTTGAAACTTCCTGCTTTAAGTATAGTATGTTAGCAATTATGTTCGCACAAGGGCATTTATCAGCGGCAGCAAACATGCAACCCGCTCATAAAAGATTCAGTGCAGCATTTTACTTCCTGGCCAAAATTCAAGAGGATCAGGTGTGTTATATAAGCCGTCTGTGAAGTTTCCTTTGCCTGACCCCAGTGACAGATCAACTCTTATGTTACTTGACCCACCGACATCTTACAACATTTAATATGCGTCAAAGGCAAGTTAGTCCAATCATGCATTTATTATTCTGAATAAAAGAAGACAACGTATCACCCAAAATACTGTTAGGTCATACAGCAGAACTTAAACCAAAGCCACTTGGGTTTATGTGTGTATACCCTAAAGCGTTTATCACTTAAAAGCAAATACAATAGATTAATATAAATTGCAGTTTTTCTCATGGACACCTGACTGATTAGAATAATGTTTGGATTTGATATATTATCATGTTATATTTTCCTTTTGTGTTTTGGAGTACAGTTGTGTTTTGAAATGCAGTTGTTCACAGGCTGCTGCTGTGAGATCATTTTAAACGCTGATCCTTTAAACTAAGCTAAGGAGTCTTAAGTAAGGACTCATGTGCATGATAAGATGTCAAACACTTAGGATAAACTGTCTCTGATTGTTGGCAGTATAATGTTAGCATAAGAGGCCCGGTGTTGTCCTTAACAAGCCATGACGCAAATGGATAGTTTGTCATGTAACAGGCAACGATAGACCATTGTGTAGTTTGTCTCTGGCAACATTTAACATGTTGTATTACGGTGGTTGACCGCACCATCACAGTTTAAGGACGGCGAAAAGAGATAAGCTCCGGTAACGTTAGCAACTAGCTGCCTGACAACGGAGATGAATGGAGTTGGAAGTCGCCTCAATACCAGCTGCTAACAGTAGCAAATAAATGTCCCACAAGCAGTATTTATACCTCCTAATCTTTCACAATGACCTCTCAAAACCTTGGTTAACGTTCGTATGTTAATATTTATACTTGCTTACCTGTATCTTCTACAATAACACCGTAGTGAAGCCCGTCTAGCCGACGCTGTTAGCGTTAGCTTTCGTTGCCATGTTAGCCAACAACTCAAACAATGGCTACCTTTCTCACTGGTCTGCCAGCTAGCAGACTGCTAGGCTACATCCACAGGCTTCAGTCATCTCCAGTCCGCTGTAGCTGTCGAGGAAAACGTTCCTTTTCAATCTAAGCAGCATTTCCTCACGTTTAACACTAGAAACTACACACGGAACCAAGTAGGTCAGCCGCTGTCGGTTGCCGTGGTCCCCTTGTTGTCAACAACATCATACCTGTCAAAGGCGGCTGAACAACACCTTTGTGACTTAGTTTGATTGGCAGACAAAGGAACCAATTGGCGTAACGGATGGTGAGGTGGGCGGAACATCAGACCATGGGTCAGGCAGTCACTTCCACATCCTCCTCAGTTGGGAATATTTTCCCTTACAATAACGTTGTAATTACTCGTTTTAACAGGCTTAAAAAATATGACATATTTTTGCTACATAATTGGTCAACAAAAAGCAGTAATTATCTTTTGAGCTGCCAGCAATTGTTTTTCTTGTTCATCTTTTGAAGAATTAATGAGTGACTGTTACACACCTAAAACCATTAATAAAAACACCTCCTAAAACAAAAAGTTTCCAATTTGTTCCCATGAAGACGACATCTTGTCTTCTGTTTTTAAAAGAATGCCACTTTGTAGCCCAATGCCAGCAGAAAGGCTTTTACTGCCATGTTCAAGACACAAACAGGTACAAGACCTTTCCTCTATGGCCTAGGTTTTTGGAGCCTTTACTTAATTTATTGTAACCTTATTTCTTCTTCTTTCAGGTAGGTTTCTCTCAATGCTAACAATGGAGCCGCTTTAATTCTTCAATAATTCTGACCTCAGCAAAAACCCTAAACCTCTCTAGACAGACAAGACACAAAGGAAAACAAGTGACAAGGAAATCATCACGCTCTTTTCAGATAGCATAAAATATGTTTCTTTTTAGTTATTAAAAATGAATTTCCTTTTTCATCAAAGCCAAAGTTAAGAAATTAATGAATTTTCCATTAATAAAAACATTGTCAAAATGCCTAAGACAGTAAGTAAACAGACTGATTTCTTATAACCATCATATGGCACAAACCCAAAGACATGGAATCTCAATGTGGAAAAGCCAAAGGATAAACATCTTCAAAACAAACAAAACAATTGACTATTAATTTCTGCAGGCTTTGAGGCTAAGCATATGGTATGCTTATAAAGTGCTATAATGTATAATAAAGATTAACAGTATATAATAACTGTTACATAATATGATCTGATACGGAGATGATTTTGGAAGTACTATCAGAAGTTGACTGGAATAATTTTCATTTGAGTTTTTTATCTGCCAAAAATAAGCCCCAGTATTTATATGGAGGCATATGAATAAATACTCTATCAACAGTGTATCCGATCTCCAATCTTTCAGCGGTCCAAATGACAAAATTATGGATCCACAAATATACAAATCTGGCTACTCAGAAACAACAGTTCAGTTCCCGCCAAGAGCATTAAGTGGATCATCAAATATGTTGCTTGACTCCGCTGCTGTGGAGGTCTCCTGAGACGGTGGTGTTTTCTTTGATTTATGGGGAGGCTTTGTGACTGCTTTTGCTGTGCTTGGTGAGAAGATGTCATCTTTAGGAAAAGAGAGATGGATAAAATAATTAGTTAAATATGGCAATAAAAAAAGAACATGAATGCATCAATATGTTTTATTGTTTCTTACCCATGTCATCATCAAATATTGACTTGGTCTCTCCCTTTGTCTTGGACTTCTGTTTTGGTTTGAAACTGTCCGTCATGTCAGCAAAAATGTCTATGTTGTCGTCAAACAAGCTGGCATCAAGGGTCTTCTCTTTGTGCTTCTTGTGAACTTCAGGCACAATGGCGACTTCATCCTGAGAACATAGAAATGCAGCCCATAAGGAAAGGAATTAAACATTTTCTCATGATGGCACAGACATCCTTTATAAATGTAAAAATCAAGGTACCTGGAAGATGTCCTGCTTTGAAAAACTGCCGTTCTTTATTTCTTTACTACTTGTGGATGTGGGAGTGGAGCGGTTGCTCACTCCAAAGATGTCCTCATCCTCGTCCTCCTCTTCCAAAAAGGATGAGGCCGTGGCTTTCTTAGTAGTTGACCTCGGCTTGACCTTTTGGAAAAGTTCATCAGTGTTGGCATCAAAAAGAGATGGAAGAGAGTCTTTCTTCACCGCACTACTACTAGCTTCAGGCTGTGTGGTCTTGGTAGTTTGTCTGGTGGGGGGTGTGGTAGTGACTGAGGAGGCTGCAAACAGACTGTCAGAGCCAAAAAGGTCCTCGTCATCAGAAAACGGCAGCACCTTGGTAATGCTGCTGTCTTTACTGGAGTCCTTTATTCCAGCGTTTGTTGATACTGGCAGTGTCAATACTGAGGGTCTGGTGGGGACTTCAGAGACTGAGGAAGGAGAAGCTGAGGAGGCAGGCAAGGCTGAGTGGGAAGCTGGGTCGGGTAGTGTTGGACTGGCACGCTTCTGGCTGGATTCATCTGGTGGGGGTAAGGCTAAACCAGACACACCGGGGTTCTGCCCAGGAACATCTCCACCCAAAGCCTCTTCTTTATCCACTGAAGATCGCTGGGCTGGTTGCTGCCTCCCTGCTCTGGACTGGGGTCTCCGTTGTGCTGAACCTTTCGCACGGCTCTGCATGACAAGAGATTTGCAATCACAATATTACATCAGAAATTCAAACAATGATAAAGCAACAAATACCGCACTTCCACTGCAAAGTCAGGCACAGTTTTACAAAACTCTACTCGTTTTATCTTTTATTTTGGCTAAACAAATGGCTAAAGTTGTGGATAGCACTCGTTTTTTTTGGTACCACTTGGTTTGAGGTTTCATGCAAGCTGAGCCAATAGCAGACGGAGTTAAAACACTGCAGAACACTGATTGGACAGAAAAAAATGCCACTAGGACAGCACAAAATATCCTGCACAAACCTCAAAACCCATAAACGTTGTCAATTAGTAAAGCTACTGTTAATAGCAACTGCAATGTTTTTATTTTCTTGACCCATACTTTAAAAATTGAAGCCCCCAAAATGACGTTAAGCACTACATGGTACAATTGACTAAGTGTAGACATTCTTTTGGTTGGTTAAAGACCTGCTATTAAGGCTATTAAGTAAGTTGAGTTCAGTATAGCCGAACAATGCAGTGGAAATTAAGCATTTAGGACTTGAGGATAACAGATATAATACTCCAGGAATCAAAAACCGACCTTGTGTACACTCTGAAGGGTTGCAACCTTGACTGGGGTCTCGAAGCTCACCCCTCCCTCACGGTCTGTCTGGGCTCCGACAGGAGTTGTGACTGGGCTGGGGCTCAGGCTGGAGCTGGACACCCCAGAGGAGGAACTGGTAGCCATGCCACTTGAGGCCCCTGGCATACTGGGGGCCGCACCAGGGAGCAGCGCAGCAGGGTTGATCATCAGATTGGCCTGAATATGATGAGATCAGACGAAATAATATAATCATTTATCAAGGCAAAAAAGAAACCAATGGACACCAAAGAAAGACTATTTAAAAGAGACTTTCCAGGTAGAAACACATTTACAACTACTACCTCTTCATGGAATTTCTCAGCAGATCATTGAGGAAAAAAAAGCTCAAAAACAAGACTCCAGATGAAAATGAGAAAAGATCAAGATGCAAAAATATCTTGTGAAACTGAAAGAAAGAGCAAGTATATTCTTTCGGTTAAGAAAAATGAAATCAGAAAATATGATCTCATTTTTCTTGCCGCTGTTCTGTAGCCAAGCTTTTACTGCAAGTTGGAATATAAAAAAAGAAGCCCAGACAGAAGACGCCTTAAGAGAGAAAATGTGTAAGAGGAAATAGAAGTCTTCCCTCAAGAGGAATCGGAGTGAAATGTCAGGAATGAAGACTGATTCAAGAAAAACAAAAATATTACTTGAAGTTTCCCAATCCTTGATGAGGAATCTTTAGGTTTTACAGGGTTTGGTGCAGGTTTCTGTGTGGTCAGATTACAGCAGGTTCAGAATCAAATCCAATAAAGACATGACCTAGTTCATATAAAAACAACACTACCACAACATATCAACATTTATAAAAAAAAAAAAAGGTATGCTACTACAAGCAAAAATAAACCCTAAAACAAAAATGAATGGGGACACAGGTGTGTGTTTATGGCTAAAAAATAACCCATCCATGATATTATTGGAGTACATGCTTATAGTACACTCACCTGAATCTCTGATACAGATTCTGGACTGGCTAGTGGTGCTCTGTCATTAGGTTTACTGGGCTTCTCTGCTATTTTCTAAGAATAAAAAGAAGAGAGGAAAAAAGCGTCAGTATAATGACTATTTACACAGCTGTCTTCGTTTCAAATCTAATATACAATGTTAGGTCAGGACGAATCCACAAAATAAAAAATCACTAGAAAATAATCAAATTGCTACCGGAGGAGGATCCTTTGCCTTGATAGAGCTGAAGAGGTCATCCTCATCCTCATCTGAGAACAGGCCTTTTGCTGCAAGCTTCACTGAGTCGGGCTTGGAGCTCTAAAAGGAAACATATATATATATGTACACTTCCTTATCATCTAGTGAGAGACATTATGCATTCATTCACAAACAGTATGCAGTCGACTGCAACACCGTACTTGAAGAGAGAAAAAGAAACATATCTACAAAGAGATAAGAAAATGTAATATACTGACAGCTGGTTTCCCTGAGGTGGCAAACAGGTCAACATCTGGGTCATTGTCCTTCTGCTGCGTCTGACTGAACAGCAGCTCCTCATCCAGGAACACTCCTGTGCTCTTTGCCTGCGGTCGCTCCTCTGTAGGCTGTTTTAGAGACATATATTTGTATTCTTGAGAGACCGCGTACCAATGCAACTAAAAACACACTATTCTTACTATAAATCATACTAACCTTTACAGTGTTGCTTTCTGTGGGTTTGCTGGGTGTGAATATCGGTTCATTCCAATCTGATTCGTCTTCCTCCTCATCATCAAATAGACTAACAGTGTTTATTTTCACTTTCTCTTCCTTCTTCTCCTCCTCCTCCTCCTCCTCCTCCTGGACATTTGGTGGTGGACCGTCCTCTGAGAGGAGAGGGTCTTCCTGGTCAACTTCGTCCAACGGGCTCTTTGTCTGCTTGTTAGCAAAAACGTCGATGCCTCCAAAAAGACTGACTCCTCCCACAGGCTTCTTTTGACTTTCGCTAATATCTGGCGAGGGGGCTGATGGGAGCGGCTCGGGGCTCTTTGCCGTCGGCT